CCTGCCTGCCTGCCTGCCTGTCTGTCTGTCTGTCTGTCTGTCTGCTTTCCTGCCTGCCTGCCTGCCTGCTTGCCTGCCTGCCCGCCCATCCGTCCGCTCATCCGCTTGTCTGTCTGTCTTTGTCTTTTTTTTCCCTGAGAATGCTCATACTTAACTAAGTGAAAACTGTCGTCTTCAGTCCCTCGATCCTACCTTGACATGAACAAAGACATTCACAGAATTAGAACAAAGACGAGTAAAAATGAAACATTCGCGTGTAAATATGACACTTTTATCCTCCCAGTGGCATTTTAATCGACCTTTTCTTATCGCGCTTTCTATCTTTAAGATTCTGTCGTCCCCGTGGGCTGGGATTGTCGTGTGGCGAACTGTCGCTATTGATTTCTGGATATATGATACGCTCTGTCTTCTTTTTTATGTATTTGTTTGTGGGTTTTTTTTTGTTTTCTTTTGTTTTCTATTAGTGGAGATTTTTAACAGGCCTTCTTTGTCCTCATACACACCACAGACTTGTATTCCTAGACTGCTCTGTGGGTGGTTGGTGGGTGCTCTGGTGTGGTTTGCTTCTTCTTTCCTATCAAACGTCTATCGTCTTTACCTCCCCTTCCTTCTTTTTTTGTGTTTGTTACTCTCTTGTAACATGTTTAATCTTCGGCGCTTATATGACCTTATTGTGTTGCAAGTGCCGTAAAACTCTTAAGACTTTAAGACGGCAGCCTTGACTAATGTACATACTGGGCAGTAGACGGCAAAAGATCTTGTCAATTTGTTTTAGTATTTGAGCGTGTGCAATCCACAGTTGGCACTAAACGCTTGTCAGGAAGCTGAGAATGTTTCTGAGTGTTCTTGGGCCTGCTAGGGGTAATAATAGTTGTACAATGCTAGAGAACATGCTGTTGAATTTAGATTATCATTGTTATTGTTATAATCATCATCATCATCATCATCATCATCATCATCATCATCAACATCATCATCATCATCATTATTGTGGGTGGTTAGTGGGTGCTCTGGTGTGGTTTGCTTCTTCTTTCCTATCAAATGTCTATCATCTTTATCTATACTCCTTCTTTTTTGTGTTTGTTACTCTCATGTAACACCTCTAATGTTCGGCGCTTATATGACCTTATTGTGCTGCAAGTGCCGTAAAACGTTTACTGAAACTAAAAATCCACATCATCATCATCATCATCATCATCATCATCATCATCATCATCATCATGAACATCATCATCATCATCATTATCATTATCATCATCATCATCATCATCATTGTTATACTAATTATTATTATTGACCTGTGGTGTTTTTTCCTTCCTGTGTGTCCCCAGTGGATGCGTCAGATGTGGAAGTCGGACGCGTGTTACCGGAGTTATGGCGTGGACGGCTCTGACTGCTCGATCATCATGTACCTCAGTGAGGTCAGTGCTGTCTGTCTGTCTGTCTGTCTGTCTCTCTCTCTCCTCCTCTCTCTCCTCCTCTCTCTCCTCCTCTCTCTCCTCCTCTCTCTCTCCCTCTGTTCAATCATCATGTACCTCAGTGAGGTCAGTGGTCTCTTCTCTCTCTCTCTCTCTCTCTCTCTCTCTCTCTCTCTCTGTCTGTCTCTCTGTCTGTCTGTCTGTCTGTCTCCCTCTCTCTCTCCCTCTCTCTCTCCCTCTCTCTCTCTCTCTCTCTCTCTCTCTCTCTCTCTCTCTCTCTCTCTCTCTGTCTCTCTCTCTGTCTCTCTCTCTGTCTCTCTCTCTCACATCATGTACCTCAATGAGGTCAGTGCTGTCTTCTAACAGGGGCGTGGGTGGTTGACGGGTGCTCTGGTGTGGTTTGCTCCTTCTTTCCTATCAAACGTCTATCGTCTTCATCTTCCCTCCTTCTTGCTTGTGTTTACCACTCTCTTGTGACACCTCCAATCTTCGCCACTTATATCACCTTATTGTGTTGCAAGTGCTGTAAAACACTCACTAAAGCTAAAAACAACCTGTTCTCCTTTCTTGTGCTTTGTTTCAAGAAATGATGTTGGGCTGAGTTCTATTTTCTCCTCATCTGATAGAGAGGGTTATTGTTCAACAATTCTATACAGAGTTCTTTTTTTTTTTGTTCCCCCCCCCCAGGTGGAAGGTTTCTGTCCGCGAGCTCCCTGGGCCGGCTACAAGAACAAGACGATGGTGGACAACAGGGTTGTTTATGTGAGTTTTTCCATCTGCAAAATTGGTTTCAGAGTGGGGAAGTTTTTTTGGTTTGTTTATCGAGTACCTCTGTCTGTCTGTTCAGGTTACCCCCCGGGGCGGTGCCACTGACTGAAGTGTCCTTAGACCATCCCCAAAGGGGGGACATTAACCATGTTCTTAGGCACAGTAGAATTGTAAATGGGCTGATTTATCAATGTCATGCTCATAACTGTGCCTGAACTGCAACAGGGAACTGCTGCATTTTCTTTCCTAATCCTTACTATAGTCAATTTTCCTCTACTTCTTTTGTATGTTTGTCTCATTCTTGTGACCCGCTATTTCCGGGGTGCCTTGATAGTCGAAGCAGACTTTGTGCTGTTGAAGCTAGAGAGGTGAGCAGAGTAGGCCTGATTCCCCGTAAAGACTTCTCTGTTGACATCCACCCCTTGGTGCTCATATGACCATATGCAGTTGCGAGCACCGTAAAAACTTTACTAAAACTAAAAAACTTAATTTGACCCAAAAAGAGTTGTAATACCTTTTGCGTCTTTACTGTTTATTTGTCTGCAGGCTACCAATACTTTGGACATGCAGCTTAGGATATAGGTCTGGATTGATGATATCTATAATCTCACAGTTTGATACAGAGAGAGTTGAGTTACCTGTTCTATGTTGACTGTCTATGGTATCTGTCTGCAGGCTGCCATCACCTTGGACATGCAGCCTCTAATGAACATCCTAGTTGACCCGAACGAGCGACAAGGTTACGCCTGGATACGTATGAGGATCTCTCGTATGTGGCACCGCTGGACTCAGGCGGCCAACAGTCTCGCTGCCAAACACAACTTTGAGAACAGGGTCAAGCAGAAGGTGAGTGTGGGTGGTTGGTGGGAGCTCTGGTGTGGTTGGATCCTTCTTTCTCATCAAATACCTGTTGTCATTATCACCCGCCTTTCTTTTCTTTGTATGTTACTCTTTAGTAGCCCTCCTAATCATGAGCACTTACGTGACGTAATTGTGTTGCAAGTGTGGTAAAACTCGTACTGAACCTAGAAAATAAAACTTAAAAAGAAGGGGAATGTATATAATTTTTTTTTGTTTGAAAATGCATGGAATTTGTACGGTAATTAAACGCTAAACTCTTGTATCTTCAGTTGAACTTTCTTCTCAATAGTTCAACAGACAGCTTATGTTCTTACTTCACTCAGTCTGTCAGTCTTCAATATGAGACTTCAACTTTTGACCCATACCTTTTCCTACCAAAATTTCTACTTGATGAATCAACACTTCCCATTCACATTTGCCTCATTCTGTGTGTTTTTCAATATTGATGATTTTCCACCTCTTTACACACACACACACACACTTATATATATATATATGGGTGGATGATATATATATATATATATATATATATATATATATATATATATATATATATATAATCATCCACCCACTTCTCTGAAATACAAGAATAAAACGAAAAACTAGGGAGCGGGACAGAGGGTGCCCACCTCGTGACTTGAAAGAGCTGAGGAATGTAGGACTACCATGATCTAAACAATTAACTACTAAGCAGTTGTGGTAGCCATCTCCTGTTGGGGCTATGGCAACACTTAGATGTGTGGCTTACCAAAAAAGCGTTAAAAGAGTGAAGAAACATATGTATTTACTAATTTATTAATGTATTTATTTATATGTAAAACATTTTCTTGTGTGTTTACTCTTAAGACTAACAGCTAATTTCAAACCCAAAATGCAGCACAGCTTTTTGTTATTATTATTTTTTTTTGGTAAGTGTTTTACAGCTCTCGCGACTGCATAAGGTCATATGAGCGCAGGGGACACATTAAACGTTTTCAGTTGGTAGGAAATTTTTAATTTTGCCCGGGTGGCAACCGAAGCCTACTCTTATCGATTTTAGACCACCAAGGGATTTTTAATGTGCGCAATTGGCCCAAGGGACCACCGAGATTTTTTGCTCTTGCCCAAGAAGGCTAGGTGTAGATCTTTCCTACCAGAAGATCAGGGGTGAGGCTGAAAGACAGCAGTAAGGAGGAGCCAAGGGATAGTAGTAGAAAGGCTGCAGAAAGAGTCAGGAGCCCAGAGGAGGGGGCAAAGGAAGTGAGGGGATGGGGGCAGAAAGTGGAGATGAAAGCAGACAACAGAACATTGCTAGAGAGCAGGAAAGGGGGTGAAAGGAGACACCTTTAGAAAAGAAAATTTTTGGGCTGCTACCCGGATTAGAACCCGGGACCTTTGAATGAGAGGCGAACTCCTTAACATCTAATACACGAGAGCCCCCCTTTGTTTGTTTAGTAAGTTCACCCTTGTCATGAGCTCACACACACACAGTCCTGCTCGCTCTCGCTCACAAGGCGTCAGTTGAGAAACATCCATCTGTGTGAGTGGTCGACTCGATGTTGTCGTCATGGAAAAACCGTCATGAAGTGGGTTGTTGGCCGGTGCTCTGGTGTGGTTTGCTTCTTCTCTCCTATGAAAAATCTATCTTCCTTATCTCCCCTTCTTCTTTTTTATGTTTGTTACTCTCTTGTAACACCTGTAATCTTCTGGCGCTCATATGAACTTATGCAGTTACGAGCGCCGTAAAACCTCTACTAAAACAAAAAAAACCCCGTCATAATGTTACATCCTTAACTTCTCTGACCTGTTTCAGATCTTGGTGCATCTGGGCCTCCTGAGCAAGCAATCTGGCTGGAAGTTTGCAGAGATGCAATTTAAAGGTATTACAAAATTAATATTTACAGTACCGAAGGCTCATATAGACTAAAACCCTCAAATACCGCACCAGTTTAGAACGCAGAAGCCGTGGTAGATAAAAACATTTTGGCAGCCCAAAAAATGCATTAAAAAATGTATAGAGGTTCATCAACCATTCAGCTATCATATCGAGTGTCTTCCTTTGGTATTTACTTCAGTACAGTGCGTCCATTCGTTGTTTAATTATGTTTAGTGTGCCTTGTTTCATCGGTGACTAAAGTCGCCAGTGGTAGTGAGCGCGTACTACAGCCTGGGGACTAAAGTCGGAGACGGTACTGTAAGTGTTTCAAACCTGTTTGTAGTTCTTGTACCTGATCATAAAATTCAGCGTGTTACTTTATATAAGCATTGAAATGTTCTTCCGTGGGACTTGTTTCAAGACATTTCAGCTACATGGAATATGTGTACATTGATGTGGGTGGTTGGCGGGCACTTGGTGAGGTTTACTCCTTCTTTCTTATCAAACAGCTACCATTCATTATCCCTCCTTTTTTTTTTCGTGGTATGTTACTCTCTTGTAATCTCCAGTTTCTCACACTTAAATGACCCCAGTGAGTTGCAAGTGTCGTGAAAGTCTTTCTGAATCTGTGGTTGGTTGGCAGGTGCTCTGGTGTGGTTTACTCCTTCTTTCCTATCAAACAACTCTTATCCTTATCTCTCTCCTCCTTCTTTAACTTCCTATCTTACATCAATCGTCTTTATCTCTCCTCCTTCTTTTTTGTGTTCGTTACTCTCTTGTAACACCTCTAATCTTCAGCACTTATATGACCACATTGGGTTGCAAGTGCCGTAAAACTCTTACTAAAACTAAAACCTTCTTTAACATGTTAGCTACTCTCTTGTAACAGTTTTAATATTTGGCTTATACTACGACTCCTTTTTTTTTTCCTTTTGACCCTGCCAAAAAATGAATGACCTAATTGTATCGCATGTGCAGTAAAATGCTTTCAAACTTCTACATTACTAAAGCTAAAATTATACTAAACTGAAGCGTGGGTGGTTGGCGGGTGCTCTGTTGTGGTTTGCTTCTTCTTTCCTATCAAACATCTATCATCTTTATCTCCTCTCCTTCATTTTCGTGTTTGTTACTCTCCTGTAACACCTCTAATCTTCGGCACTTATATCACCTTCTTGTGTTGCAAGTGCTGCAAAACTCTTACTGAAACTACAACAAAACTGCATCCAATACCTGTTGTGTTGTGTGTGTGTCCCCTCAGGCGGCCCTCTGGGTGAGCTGGTCCAGTGGAGTGATCTTATCTCCACCCTGTACATCCTGGGCCACGAACTGACCATCACCAGCGAGGTGGAGCAGCTAGTCGAGTGAGTCCACGCCACCATCTGGCGCTTTTGTGTTTAGTAATAACAATTAACTGTGGAGCATTTTGGGTTTTGGACTTAGCTGTTAGTCTTAAAGTAAACACACCACGGCTGTTCAGTTCTACTATCCTTGCGGAGCACTTAGTTTGACCCGTCCGCTGACCTCCCGGGGTTATAAATCCCACCTGACAGTCGGGCCACGCATTGCTTCCTGGGCGATAACGCTGTTAGCCGATTTTGGGTAGAAGTCTGTAATTTTCACTTGATTTAGTCCCCTGTAAATGTCCTCTCTTATCTCTCACTATGGGTGTGTGAGGTATCAAATGAAAGCCCAGACTCTCCCCAGTAACCCGCACCCTTTAGTTTGGTTCTAGTTCTAACCGTGATCACACACTGCCTGGGGGCTCTGGTGGCCTAGAGGTTAAGGTGTTGGCCTCTCATTCAAAGGTCCCGGGTTCGATTCCGGGTAGCGACCAAAAAATTTTCTTCTCTAAAATTGTCTCCTTTCACATCCTTTCCTGATCTCTAACAATGTTCTGTTGTCTGCTTTCATTTCCACTTTCTGCCCCCACCCCCTCACCTCCTTTGCCCCCTCCTCTGGGCTCCTGACTCTTTCTGCAGCCTTTCTACTGCTACTCCTTGGCTCCTCCTAACTGCTGTCTTTCTGCCACACCCCTGATCTTCTGGTAGGAAAGATCTACACCTAGCCTTCTCGGACAAGGGCGAAAAATCTCGGAGGGCCCGTGTGCAAGTTGCGCACGTTAAAGATCCCGTGGTGGTCTAAAATCGATAAGAGTAGGCTTCGGCCGCCACTCGGGCAAAATTCAAAATTTCCTACCAACGAAAAAGTATTAGGTGTGTCCCGCGCGCTCATATGACCTTATGCAGTTGCGAGCGCCGTAAAACCCTATACTAAACAAACAAACAAAAAACACACTGCCTCTGTACTTAACCCTACCTTGTGGTGCATGTATTTCTCGGATTGCTACAAAGATCAGGATTTTTTTCCATTCGTGAAACGCAGATTGTCATCATTTTTTTATCTGCCGTATCAAGAGTCAGAAAAGAGGTTATTTGTGAAAAAATTGTTTAGATTCACTGGAAAACTTTAGCAGCACGGCGAGTTTTGTTACTTCACCCTGTAATATTTTCCTGGCGGCCGTGCTGCCCCGCGTGGTATTCACCAGAGGTCCCGCTTTCACTTTCCCCGATTCTTTATCGACAAGTGTTAGGAGAGTCTGCTACAAGAGGGAAAATGGAACACTCCGGGAACTACGTCCTGTGTAGAACATGCGGGGCCAGTAGTAAAAAAGTGAAGAAGGCAAACCAGAGCACATATTTCTGTGTAAGTTTACAAAATGACTTACTCGTATTCTACGGCGTAAACGTGGACACGGATAGTGTAGACTCACATCCCTGTGACATGTGCAACAATTTACTGTGTACAGAGCATATACCGCTCAAGGCAACAAGTTCAAGAAGCAACTCTGCTGCGCAAAAAAAGTATTGAAGAAAGTTAACCCAGCTGGAGACCTAACCATAGTTGATCTCTGATAGGAAACCGTTGTCACCAATACTTGAAGCGCCCAGGGTACACAAACATCACAAAACACATTTGCTCACACACAGCAGCTCTTACATCTAACCAAAACATCATAGATGCAGCCCACGCAGGCAGACAAATCTGATTTATTACACAACAGCTATGCTGAAGTACATCACCTCATCTCTTACACATAAAATACAAGAAACTGAGTTTGACATTATAGGAACAGCAGTTTGTGCATATTTGAAGCTATACAGACGACTATCTCCAAACGCAGTCATACCCAAACAACTCATATTAGAGCACCACTGTCTGCCTTCTATTTAGGGATATGGATTTGGCCCAGGTTTAAAGGGCGAACTGGGTGGCGAACTTATGCACTCCAGCATCGCAAAACTGGAGAAGAGGACAGTGGGAATTGAAGAAATGGAAACAGTTGAAAGCTGTTAAGCTGTTGCTGAAGCCTAAAGACCGCAAAATGCGTCCACGCTTAGGCAGCAGCTTTGAAAGGAAATAAAGAGGAAGACAACTAGCCTGTGACACTTTTGCAATTATTGATATAAGTACATGTATTCATATGTTATGAGTTTGTGAATGTGTAAGCAGCTCTAGCTGTGAGGAGACAAAGAGGAACCCTTTGTTTCATGAAACTAGATAGCAGTGAACCTTCTACAAGTTCCATAATTGTGAAAACTGTGAGGAAACAACGAAAAATCTCTCATTGAATTAATTGGACAGTAGTAAATCTTCTACAATTTCCCCATTTCTGAATGAATCTAACCAAAAGTAAGTGTTTCTGAAAGCTCATCATGTCACTGATGTATACCACTGATTATTTTAGAGATCTGGTGTTCACATTTTAAAATATCATAAATTTAAAAAGTAGACCTATGAAACAATTTTCCCCTTAGATGCCCTCAATTGCACCCATGTTTTAAAGGGTACCCTGTTAAGAATACTCATAAAAAGTTATTTGCTGTACAGTCCAAGAATGCCTCTATCTGTTGATAGTAATTTCACGTTGATTTGTTGATGGGAAAAGCCACAATGAAGCAATTAAACTGTATAAAAAGTGTTATGTCACAACAGTTCATCCGCATAGCAAAGGTCAAAGTGACCTCCATGACCACCCAGGCGTGGCATGTAACTAAGTGCTCCGCTCGGGAACAGCCGTGACACGGGAAATTGTTTTACATGTAAATAAATACATGAGTGAATAAGTAAAACAAAATAGGTTTCTTCACTCTTATAGGGATATTTTAGTAAGTTACTCATCCAAGTGTTGCCATAGCCCCATAGAGTTACCCCCTTTAACCGTCCGTATAGTGTACATCTATGCATAGCCCCAACTGGAGATGGCTACCACAACTGGTTAGTAGTTTGTTTAGATCATGTTAGTCCTACATTCCTCAGCTCTTTTGTGGAGTCACGAGGTGGGCACCCTCTGTCCCGCTCCCGGGGGGGCGGTGCTACTGACTCAAGTGTCTTTAGGCCATTCCCAAAGGGGGGTTAGCTACTGACTCAAGTGTCTTTAGGCCGTTCCCAAAGGGGGGACATTAACCTGTTCTTATGCACAGTAGAATTGTAAATGGGCTGATTACCCCCCGGGGCGGTGCGACTGACTCAAGTGTCTTGTGGGTGGTTGGCGGTTGCTCTGGTGTGGTCTGCTCCTTCTTTCTTATCTAACATCTATCGTCTTTATCTCCCCTCCTTTTTTAAAATGTTTGTTACTCTCTTGTAACACCTCTAATCTTCAGCCCTTGTATGACCTTATTGTGTTTCAAGTGCCGTAAAACACTTGCTAAAACTAAAACTAAAAGCATCTGTCATTTTTATCGCCCCTCCTTCTTTTTTGTGTTTGTTACTCTCTTGCAACACCTCTAATCTTCGGCTCTTCTATGACCTCATTGTGTTGCAAGTACCGTAAAACTCTTACTAAAACACTACAACATATGTTTCTGCTGTCTGGTCAGGATACTGAACCACATCCCGGCGGCCCAGTCTCCGTGCCAGAGCCGTAAGGAGCTGCCGGTACATCTCATCTACACAGACATCATGGGCCTTATACAGTTCAAGAAGAGGTTAAAAGCCGGGTACTCAAAGTTCAGGTGAGCTGGGGCGCAGACCAGGGGAGTGTAGCAGAAGTTGTTGTGGCTTTTGTTAACCGAGAGTTGTGTGGAGTTGAGGGGAGTTATAGGGGCGGGGGAGTAAGGGGAGGGAGGGGAGAAGGGGAGTTGAAAAGATGAATTGTGTGCTATATTTAACACTTTCCAGCCACGCGGCGCACAGAGCGTGCAACACTTCTCCCCGCGGACCAGGATACAGGTGCGGTACACGCTATATCACACCAGTGCTGATCGGCGTCCCGTAGGGGCAAAGTGTTAAAGTATGAAAAGATGAATTGTGTTGTACACTTTTAGTATGAAAAGATGAATTGTGTTGTACACTTAGAATTTGAAAAGATGAATTGTGTTATACACTTAAAATTTGAAAAGATGAATTGTGCCAAACTAAAAGTAACTTAGATTTGAAGTATGTTCACCATTACGTCTTCAACAGTCGGCCCTCGTTTTATTATTTCTTTTCCTGTTGTCCCCAGTTGTCTGTTCCGAGTCCTCGACTCGTTCGGCACCGAGCCCGCCTTCAACCACAGGGCCTTCGCCAAACAGAACAAAATCCTTTCTTCCTGGGGAGGTCAAGATCTCAGCCCTCGACAGTTTTACACCATGTTCCGTGAGTACGACACGATGGAAGGATTTCATCATTTGTGTCACGACGTGATGGAATCAGGCGCTCGTTTTTTTGGGTTTTTTTTTCCCAATCAGGCGCTCGTTCATTTTGGGGCATATTTGATTTATTGGTATCATCTTCAAGCCTGTCCATTTGCCTCGCTTTTGATGAACAGAATATCCATTTATCTTGTATATTAGTTAAGGCATTTGCAATTAAAGGAGGTCGCCTGGTTTCAGAAGTAAAATTATCGAGGAAATGTCCGCTAACGTTGAGTTATTTCCTTAGCTCGAGAGTCCGTGGAAAATTATAATTTACATCTTTTATGCCTTTCATCAACGTTTTCCAGTCAAATCCACACAGAAATGTCTTCTTT